CCTCAAGCATCGAGCTCCCTACAGACATGGGAATTGAACCCACGCCACCTCTTAGCTGACGGGCTAATCAGGCGCATGCAAACCATGTTGGATTTGGACCGTGCGGCTGGAGCAGCTGCGGTTCAAGGCGGTAGAAAAGACCGGTTCGGCCGCCGACTATACGGACACACAGGAGTGGTGGCACGGGTGGCTGCCACAGGAAGATGGTTAACAGAGCAAATATCACTTCTACATTCTCACAGTATAACCTCTGTCTAACAGGTTATGGGTCCAATGGTTCATACTGTTGCCACGGACGAAGTCCAAGGCAAGCCGGAAGCAGAGCCTAGTCGCGAAAGGGCAGGCAGCCAGTACGGCGAAGATGATGAAGTCAAGAAGGCGGACGACGAAACGAAAGGGACGCAGGACAAGCTACTAGACCTACTCAAGGACCTCGCAGTGCGCATGGGACGCCTGGAGGAGTCGCAAGAGCGACAGGAAGAGAAAGAGCGCAAGGGTCGAGAGAGCAGCGTTTTCGGGTCGTCGCTGGGCCTGGGCAGAGCCATGGACAGGCAGGCCCTGGACCAGACGCCACCGCGGCGCACGTCGCCTGCCGTCTCGCCGGCCACGTACTTCGGGATGAAGCAACGTGAGTACCGAGATGCAGCAGCGAACGTCGAGATGGCTCAGGCGCCACAGCCGGCGCTGCCGCAGCACTATGTGCCGCCGCAAGCGTATCGAGCGCCACCGCCACCGTCGCCAGGACCGGGATTCGCTGGGGTACCGGACACCCGGCAGAGGAAGCTGGGGATCCGGCCGCTCGACGGGAAGGAGCTGTACCATGGGCTAGGGAGCGGTTTCCTGGCGTGGGGCAAGCGCTTTGTGCGCCAGATACAGTTCGCCGAGCGTGCTAGTGGGTTCCAGTGGACCGAGGACGTCAAGGTTGACATCCTCGGTCACCATCTTAGCGGAATGGCCGAGAGGTACTACAACCAGCAGGTTGAAGGCTGGTGGGAAGAACAGCCGACGCCCGAGCATGCGATGCAGCGGATGCTGCACACCTTCGCCACGAAGATCACACCCGCGCAGAGCATGAAGATGTTCACGGCACCGAAGAGCTCCAAGAGAAGCTGGACAGAGCACTACCTATACCTCGTGGCAGTTAGCGAGGCGTGCGGCGGTGCGGACAACCTGGTCCTAGACAACATCGTGCACTACGCGGATCCGAACATGCGAGTGTCGATGCTGTCCAGGCTGAACTTGGCACGCACGGACTACCTGCGCCAAGCGGAAGAGCTGGCGCACTTCGCCCAGTCGACGGAGATCGAGCTGCGAGGCAAGCAACTGGAGCGAGACGTGGTCAACGATGTGCACGAGGACGAGAAGGACGACCGCGAGTGCTACAAGTGTGGTAAATTTGGCCACTTGCGGGCGGCCTGTCCGAACAAGAAGAAGAGGTGGGGCGAAGGCACGGACGCTGACTTCGTGCTCACGGTCGAGGAGTCGGCCACAGAGACGGAGGACTGGATCCTGGACAGTGGATCCAGCCGTCATCTGGTGAATGATCCGGAGCTGCTGGAAGACGCGGAAGACTACGAAAGTCAATGCGTGGCAGCGGACAAAGGAGCGCTAAAAGTAACTAAGCGCGGGAGCGTAATGCTCGTAACCACGGCGATGGGGAAGATGACCAAAGTGCGGCTGCTGAACGTGCAGTACGCGGAAAACTTGGAAAGGAACATCATATCGTACGGGTTGTTGGAGGCGAAGGGGTACGGACTCGCGTACCGAGGGAAGCACCGCGTGGTAGCCGGCATCAACGGCGGGCCGGCGGTGTTTGACGTCGAGAAGACAAACAACGTTCTCACCGTGCGTGCAATGGAGTCTAGAGGCACGGGGCGGAAGGGCAACGTGTTGATGTCGGTGTTGGCGGAAGGTGAGGCGGATGTCGGCAGGGACGTGCAGACCGGGCCGCTCATGCATTTCCACCGTAGGTTAGGGCATCTGAACTACGACACGATCATTAAGATGGCCAAGGACCCGGCATCCGGGATTGCACTCACGGACGAGGTGAGGGCGAACTGCTTGGCTTGTGCCCAGGGCAAACAGACCAAGAAGAAGCAGTCGCGCAAGGACACCGGGGCTAACTCGCCCATTGACGTGATCGGAGGAGTCATCTGCTCCGACCTGAAGGGGCCGATGACTCCGAGAGATCGACTAGGGAACCGATACATGGTCAACTTTGTTGATCATCGCACCAACTACTGCAGGGTCTTCTTGGCGAAGACTAAGGACGTTGCGGCACAGAAGTTTAAGCATTTCATGGCGTACTTTGAGCGGCAGTTCAACTGCCGTATACACGTGTTGAGGACGGACGGTGGTGGGGAATACAAGACCCTGGATCTCTTCTGCAAGGATACCGGAATCAGGCGGCAGATTAGCGAGCCGCGAAACCAGGCTAGTAACGGCAAGGCGGAACGAATGCACCGCACCGTTATGAATATGGTGCGGAGCATGGTGTTCGCCTGTGGCCTTCCGCTTAGTTTCTGGGGGGATGCTGCGGAATATGCAGCCTATATCCTAAACAGGAGCCCGACGAAGGCTAACCCGGGATCGAAGTCGCCACTGCAGATGCTCACGAAGAACACACCGGATTTGAGTGACATCGTGGTTTTCGGGTCGCCCTGTACGGTGCACGTGGACGCAAAGAACAAGTCCCTGGGTGAAAGGGGCAAGGCGGGCATGATCGTGGGAAAGAACGACGAGATTAAAGGCTACCGGGTGTATCTCCCGAAGGATAAGGTAGTCGTAGTGACGCAGCATGTGAGCAACGTCGAGACGTTGTCAGACGTGCAGAACGAACAATTGAAGCGCGTGCATCTGGAGGACTCCGAGGAGTCGGAGGGCACGGGCGCTTTGGAGACAGACACTTCGAGGACAAAGACGAAGGAAAAGGCGAAGCGTCGCGGGAAGAAATCTCGCTGGACGCGGGATAGGCATCAGACGCGTTCGGCTACGCGGAAGCCCGCTGAGGCGGTGGCGAGTGGAGGCGCTGATGAGGATCGGGTGGAACAGACCGCGGACGTGGTGAACAGCGTGCGGGAGCCCGACCCGAAGAACTACCGGCAGGCAAAGAGGAGCAAGCTCTGGAGGAAATGGCTGGTTGCCATCGCGGAGGAGCTCAAAGCGCTGGAGGAGAACGGCGTGTGGGTCGTGGTGGTGCCACCGATCGGCAGCCACGTACTGCACACTAAGTGGGTATTCAAGACCAAGACTGATGCAGACGGAGCCATAGAAAGGTTCAAGGCCAGGCTCGTTGCGTGCGGCAACGAGCAGATCTTTGGCGTGGACTTCGGGCTCACGTTCGCGGCGGTCATGGAACTGAGCGCGGTGAAGGTCATCCTGGTTTTTGCTCGTCGCTGGGGCGTGCCGGCGAGGCACGGGGACATCCCCAACGCGTACGTGAAGGCCGACAAGGAGCAGCATCTCGAGATCTACCTGGAGATCCCGCAGGGAATGGTGATCGGAGATGAGGTGATGCGCAGGCTCGGAGTGAACGTCAAAGGTAAGCTGGCGCTGCGCTTGAGGAAGTCGTTGTACGGCCTACGCCAAGCAGGCAGGCTGTGGAGTCAACTCCTGCACGCGAAGCTGGAGGAGGCGGGGTTCACGCGGTGCGTGACGGACATGTGCCTATACTACAAGCGAGAGGACGGCGAGATGACGCTCGTGGGCGTGTACGTGGATGATCTCCTGGTCACCGCGTCCAAGCCGAGTCTGGTGGACGATTTCTTCTGCTCCATGAGCGTGTTGTCCGTGAAAGACTTGGGCGAGGTGAGGAAATTCTTGGGGATGCGCGTGGAGCTGGACAGCAGCGAGGGGTACTCGCTGGACCAGCAGGCGACGATCGAGGAGCTGCTGGAGCAGCATGGGCTGGCAAACGCGAACAGTGTGCGGGTTCCTGTTGGTGATGAGCACAACGAGGCGGAGGTAGACGAGCCGCAGTTGTTGACCAAGGTGGGTGCGCCGGGTGAGCCAACGATCCGCCGTTTCCAGTCGCTCGTGGGAAGTTTGCTTTGGATAGCACGGTGTACGAGACCCGACATTAGTTTCGCTGTGCATAAGGCCACGAGGAGGACACACCAGCCGACCACGAGTGACTGGAAGCTGGCCAAGAGGGTCGCAAGGTACTTGAAGGGGACGAAGAGCGTCAAGCTGATCATGCAGGCGCCGACGAGGAAGGACGACGTGATGGCTTTGGAGAGCTGGAGCGACGCAGACTTCGCCGCCGACAAGAGCGACAGGAAGTCGGTGACTGGAGGAGTCGTGACGATGGATGGGGCTGTGGTGCAGTGGATCTGCAAGAAGCAGACCGGCGTGTCGCTCTCCACGATGGAGGCCGAGTTCACGTCAGCGTCGCAGGTGGGGCGCGAGCTGCTGGGACTTCGGGAGCTGGTGCGTGAGCTGGGTTTCCGGGTAGTGGAGCCAGTGCCCATGAGAATGGACAACCAGGCGGCGATTAAGCAGCTAGAATCCGAGGAGAGCATGGCGAGTGCGAAGCACGTGGACATACGCGTGAAGTTCATCTGTGATTTTGCCAGGAAAGGGATAGTGAAGCCCGAGTACGTGGAGTCACGCCTGATGATGGCGGATCTTCTCACGAAGGCGTTACCGGCGCCGAGGATCGCGGAACTGCGGGAGATCTTCAAGCTGAAGTGACGAGTTCTGCCGAGAGTGCGACGACCGAGGAGGAGTGTTGGATTTGGACCGTGCGGCTGGAGCAGCTGCGGTTCAAGGCGGTAGAAAAGACCGGTTCGGCCGCCGACTATACGGACACACAGGAGTGGTGGCACGGGTGGCTGCCACAGGAAGATGGTTAACAGAGCAAATATCACTTCTACATTCTCACAGTATAACCTCTGTCTAACAAACCAGTTGCCCAGAATGCATACTGATATTTTTAAAAAATTCTGTAAAACCTGGCCAAATATGTCTTTGATTGGCATCGTCTTTTTTTCGTCAAAGGGTTAGGCTAAATTTTAGTCGGAAGCACCCGATCAGAATCTGATTCAGACAGGAGATCTTCCGTAAGGGCCATCCTCCTACGTAGGACCATAAAACTGAGGGCGTTTTGGCAGACAGGCACAATGCCTTCAGGGTCCAGTCGTGGTCAGTTCACGCGACAGCGCGGTCGGGAATCTTGAGTACTAGTCGCGTTATACTAGCAGCCCGGTCGTACAGTATCGTTGGCGACTTCTGATGGAGGTGGATATCTACTGTGTTATAGCCTTGCATTAGCCTGGATCACAAGGAGGCGGAGTGATGTGCCTCGGATACATTGTTGAGAGGATCGAAATGGGCCACCCGCCATCTCCAGACTTCATGAAAATATAAGGCCACCCCAACTCTCCAACAACTTTCCGCCACTTCCGTTAGCACCGGGATGAACTCACCCAGAGCCGCCGTCGTCAGCTCTGGGTACAGGGGCATCACAGTCTGCCAGATGCCAACTGGTAGTTTGGTAGGATGAGGCTAAAAATAGCTGGCACAAGCATAGACGACGATAAACCATCCCATTGCCAGCGCCGACGTAGGACGTTCCGAAGTCGCGCTGCTGCTGGACAGGTCCAGAAGACATGATATATGTCAACCCCGCGCTCACTGACGCATTTACGATGAGCGAAGCCCGGAAACCCTTTGGTCGGGTCGTACAGTGAGCAAGCATAGGTCTTGACATTGTAAGGAAGCTGTTCGCCCCATGGGCCGAGCTCCACAATCCGGCGAAGTCGATGCCATTTCAGCTGTGCCAACCCTGAACCAGCATGGATGCTGGCTGTATCCCAGTAGCGTTGGCGCCGAGCTGCGCTGGAAAGGCCCTTGGACTTGGATCGTGCAGCTATGGCGGTCCTGTAGTGGTGGCGGGACCTCTGCCAATGACGTTTGTGCTGACGAATACATACTAGGCGGCAGATCTGAGGGTGCAGGGTTATCCCGGATACTGAAACCTTCGGATCCATGATCGAGGCCACTGTCCTGGCAGGTTGACCCCCACTGTGCATCGGTCCCAAGTGCCCATTCCTGACGTGATCCATGCCGAAGGCGCGGTAGCAAAATCCCTCTCCACCGTGAACGGGTGATCTTTCGGTGCCGCCCGAAAACGCACCTCCGCACTGTGTGCATCCACCCCCAATATATATAGTTGACCACGCGCGCTTGGCGTCCATCAAGGTCTTAGGCAAATAAGCGTGCATTCCAGCCACCCAGCCACTATAAAGCCGAATACAGGTATATTTGCTTTTTTTTACGACTCTCAGCTTAGTTCGATACGCGCATTTGAGACTGCGTCAAACAAAATGATACTTTACGACCATTAAAAAAAAATTTGTGCACTGAAGCTAATCAAAAACCTGATTGAAAAGTTTAGCAGCTTAAATCTTAAGTTGTACGATGAGTCGCATAATTCTTGCTTATGTTGCACAATGTCAACGCGGCTCGTGGCCAACAGAGTCTGTTACAGACCCTGCCAACCAGTTGACCTTTGCAGTCAATCTCGGACGAGCAGTAGCATGAACGAACGCAAGCGCAAGGTAGACATCGGCGACCTGGACATCAAGAAGAAAAAGCGCAAGAGCCGGTTCTCGGACGCTCCTCCTGCCGCTTCCTCTTCCGATGCCGGAGTGAACCCGTTGACAGGAGCTCCTTTCTCGGCGCGATACCAGACGCTACTTGCCCAGCGTCAGAAGCTGCCAGTTCACCAGTTCCTCGACCAGATTCAGGACGCTGTCAAGGCGCATCAGGTCATTGTCGTAGAGGGCGAGACGGGTAGTGGCAAGACCACGCAAATCCCGCAATTCCTAACGTTGCTTAACGCCTCCAGCGGCAAGATGGTGGCCTGTACGCAGCCACGTCGAGTGGCCGCCATGAGCATCGCCAAGCGTGTGGCCGAGGAAATGGACGTGCAACTCGGACAGGAAGTAGGTTACACTATCCGATTCGAGGACGTTACGAGCCAACGCACCAAGTTGCGCTTCCTCACGGACGGTATGCTGCTGCAACACGCCATGAGTGATCCGCTGCTGTCCAACTACTCGACCATCTTGCTGGATGAGGCACACGAACGCACTTTGAGTACAGATATCCTGTTCGGTTTACTCAAAGAGGTGCTACCCAAGCGTCCAGACCTCAAGGTCGTTGTCATGAGTGCGACGCTGGATGCTGTCAAGTTCCAGAAGTACTTCGAAGGCGCACCACTCATTGCGATCCCTGGACGTACCTTCCCCGTGGAGATTTTCTACACACCGGAGCCGGAACGCGACTACCTGGAGGCTGCTGTGCGTACGGCCGTGCAGATCCACATCTGCGAGGAAGAAGGAGACGTACTGCTCTTCTTAACTGGCCAGGAGGAGATTGAGAACGCGTGTCGTCAAATTCGTGCGGAAGCTGACGCGTTGGACTCGTCCAAGTACGGCCCACTTGATGTGTATCCGCTGTACTCGTCACTCACCCCGCAACAACAGCAACTTATTTTCAAAGACGCCCCGCCGCCGCGCTTCCCGGGAGGTCCTAAGGGCCGCAAAATTGTCGTGTCTACCAATGTGGCAGAAACCTCATTGACCATCGACGGTATTGTGTACGTTGTGGACCCGGGTTTCTCCAAGCAGAAGGTGTACAACCCGCGTATTCGTGTCGAGTCGCTGTTGGTGTCGCCTATTTCTCGCGCTTCGGCTAAACAGCGTTCTGGTCGTGCTGGTCGTACGCGTCCGGGTAAATGCTTCCGTCTCTACACTGAGCAGTCGTTCATGCGCGACCTGGAGGAGCAGACTTACCCCGAGATTCTGTGTTCTGAAATGAGTGGCGTCGTCCTGACACTGAAGCAGCTGGGTATTGACGATCTGGTGCACTTTGACTTCATGGACCCACCTGCTCCTGAGACTTTGATGCGTGCGTTGGAGATGCTGAACTATCTCGGTGCATTGGACGACGAAGGTGAGCTTACGGAACTCGGTCGTCAAATGGCTATGCTCCCGGTACTGCCGCAGTTGGCAAAGATGTTGATCTCATCGGCGAAGTATCAGGTGCCACAAGAGGTGGCTACTATCGTAGCTATGCTGTCTGTGCAAGAACCTTTTGTCCGTCCGAAGAACGACGCCAAGGCTGCCAACGAGGCCAAGGCGACCTTCGCACATGTGGATGGTGACCATCTCACTCTGCTGAATGTGTTCCACGCGTACAAGTTGAACAACGGTGATGTGAACTGGTGCTTCCAGAACTACCTGAACAACCGGTCGCTGCAAAGCGCGTCGAACGTGCGTGACCAGCTGATCCGCAACATGAAGCGACTGGAGATGCCGACGCAGTCGACGCTGGACATCCACTCGCCTCAGTACTACCCCAACATCATCAAGGCGCTGGTGTCCGGATTCTTCATGCAGGTTGGCCACAAGGCTGCTGGTGGCCACTACGTGACGGTGAAAGACAACCAGGTCGTGCATCTACACCCTTCGTGCGTGCTGGACAACAAGCCCGATTGGGTTGTCTACAACGAGTTCGTGCTCACCAGCCGCAGTTACATTCGTCTGAACACTCGCATTATGGGCGAATGGCTCGTGGACATCGCACCTCACTACTTTGACCTGGCCAACTTCCCTCCTGGTGAAGCCAAGCGAGAGCTTGAGACGTTGTACCGCCGCATGAATGCGCGGAACAACTCCAAGAGCCTTAGGTAATTTTGCATTCATTATACGATAGATGAACTGGTCTCCCCACATGTTTGCTCAGTTTCTATTGCCCTGCATTGGTTTAGTGTCCACACAGCGGCTACCGAATCGGGCGTGGCGTCCTAATCTTGTGTCTCAGCAGCTTTTTGGTGCCACGACCAAAGCCACTACGCTTCTGCGACGGCTCTCGACGCGCCGTCTTCCTGTCAGTTGGCGCTAAATGTTGTTGTCCTAATGATGGCGACCTTGTGGACGTATCTTCGCGTAGCTCTTTGATTGTGCTGTTACTACGTTTAGAGTTTTCGATGCTCATGGCGAGTGTGAGATCGTGCTTGGTTACGAGGCTGGTCACAAGTCCCTGCTCGCCTGCTCTGCCTGTACGGCCAGCGCGATGCACGTAGTCGACCGCAGACTTCGGAAAGTCAAACATTACCACATGCTTCACTGCCTCTACATCGAGACCACGAGCTGCCAGATCCGTACACACCAAGATGTTCACGTTAGAATCTTCAGTAAATGCGTGGATAGCGTCGTGGCGTCTAGCCGGTGGCATGTCGCCGTGGAGACACACAGCGTCCTGGAAACCGTGTTCACGCAGCATGTGCTCTGTGGAGCGCACGCTTGCCGAGTTGCGACAGAAAATCATAGTCTTTGCCGCTCGACGCCGGTGCAGATGCAACGCCTCACGCAGCGCCGAGTGCTTGGACTCTGGGTTTACCCGCACAAACTCTTCTCGGATGGAGGCCGGCGTCTTGTGGATCTTGTCGTCGCTCACAACACGCAGTTCACCGAACTTTTTCTTCAGAATCTGGTCTATCGGCGAGCGGATTGTAGCTGCCGCCAAGATCATCTGCAGTGATTGGTTGCGCTTAGCCGCGCTGGCCTGAATCGTCCCCAGCACTGCATCCAGCTCCTTGCGGAAGCCCATTTTAGCATCAAAAAGCGTGTCTGCCTCGTCCACCACCACTGTATCAATACAGGAGACGAAGAAGTCTCCCTTGCTGATGCACTTGGCCACACGGCCAGGAGTGCCGATGATAAGGTCGAGTCGACGTGAAGTATTCTTTTGTTGGATGCTCTTGCGCTCTCCGCTCGTGATGGTGCAGGACGCAAACTTGGCTGAGTGCGATAGTTGTTTAGCAACCGACGCCACCTGTAGTGCCAGCTCCCGACTGGGTAGCAGGACCAGAGCACTGGGACGGCCCAGCACTACTTCGGTGGGTCCCTTGGTTTCGCGCTCCAGCTTCTTGGCCGCCTCCTTGCGTAGTATCTGCTCTATTACGGGGACTAAATAGGCCAACGTCTTGCCTGTTCCTGTCTGAGCTGCGCACAGGATGTCGTGGCGCGCCAAGATAGCTGGGATGCTCTTCTGTTGAATACCTGTGGGTGTTGTGATCTTCATCTCCTTCAGACCCGACACGGTGCGCGCGTCCACGCCCAAGTCTTGGAAGCTCGCTGCTGCAAAAAGTCGACGTGGTGCTGAAGAGAACGACAGCGCCGGTGGACGCGTGGCCAGGCGGCCGCGCTGGAAGAGCGATGCCGACGCGAGGCGCATGCTGCACACTTCGAGTGGTGGTAGACGACGCGGGACAGGACTACTGTATCATACCGGTAGTCACTATGTGGGCCACCCACGGGTTCGTTACTAATTTCAAGTTTTCGACCCGCGTATCAAAAGTGGGCAAAATGTTGAAGTTGACCTTGACTCACTTGCACTTACACTTGACATTAGAAATCGTGACATTGATACAAAATATGAAGCATTACAAAGGTGTCACGTTGCTCCCGGCACTACTCGATGTTCGACTTGAAGCGAAGGACTGACTACAGCCCCAAACGACGATCTTTTGTGGCTTTCGATGGACGTTGGGAGCTACGAGCACTCGACTAAACCTCGACGAGCTGACGCTGTGGTTAAGTGGCCGCCACTGCGCCGCGCACAGACACCAGTGTACGATTATGGCAGCGCTGGATTCTGCTGGACTCCATGACAGGCTGCCATCGAAGAACAACCACGTGGTCCGACAACATGAGCGTGACTCGTGTGATGTGGTTGCTTTCTGAGGTATCCCTTGGATACTATCCAATGGCCATGCCGGAAGTTGTGGAGCCGTAGTCCAGCCGCTTGTTGACATCTACTAATGCCCACATCTTAATACATGCAGTAGCAACGATGCTGTTGATGAACTTGTTGACCAACGCCATCATCGAGTTCACGAGCCAAGAAGACAATTATAGCCTGCGCGAGTCGCAGGCTACGTTGCTTGGACAGGCTCGTACTGTAACCGCTCACAATTTGTGACTCACAATGCGACGGCACTGTACGTCCGCTACAATTCCTCGCGCCAACAACACACGGAGCGCTCCTACTGGCGCGTTCCAGCGAAGTGGTCAAAAATTAACGGTAATCAACTCACTACCGACAGCAAGCTCAATGCATGAATAACGCCACCAGCAAAGTCAAATTTCATATGCCAATTGCATCGCTGATTCCAGTACGCTCACTGCCAAACAGACAAGATCGCTTCGATTGAGGTCAACAAGCCGGAAGCATTCAGACACGAAATTGCCTTGTCGTGGTCCACCTCGACAAACGGGTGGGTTTGGCCGATCTACAAACTTCAAGTCAAAACGTTCTGACCCGCGAAACCCGGCCTCTCCCTCGCCTCGTCTCTCCGCTTTATCGCAATCGACAAGCTTCGACCTCGCAACCAGCTCCTCGTTGTGCTCTCCCCCGCTTCCTCTACCCCCGAGCCGAGCTCCGCATTTCCCCTCTCTACTCGACACTGTCGAGTCCCTAACAAGTCGCAGCAGCGATGTACTCGTCCTACTGGAAGCCCAACGATGGGCGCGAGTCCAATGTGCTGACGGACCACGAAGCGCTGCACCGTGATGAGGCCACGCATAAGGCCATGCAGTCCGACGAGACGACGTTGCGTCCTCTGGATCTGGAGACTATCATGAGCTCTAAAGCCGCCGTCAAGTTCTGGTATCTTCACCGCCCTAAAACCATGGCTTACGTCCACAAGAATGCCACCAAGATCCAGAGTCTGGGCCGCGCCTTCGCCGTGCGCAGGTTGCGCGAGAAGCACGGCGCAGAGTACGTGGCCGAATTGGCGAGACAGGACCAGGCGCGTCGTGACGCTGACGCGCTCAAGGACCTCTCGGATGAGGAGCGCGCGGCCAAGGAGCTAAACGACGCCGCGTACGACGCGCGCGTGGAGGAATCTCGTCGCCTGCGTCGCGAGCAGATTGAGGCCGAACACCGTGCCGAGGAGGAGCTGCGCATGAAAATGGCGGCTGAGGCCTCGGAGCGTCGACGTCTCGAGGAAGAGCGCAAGGCCGCGGCTCTGGCAGCCCAGGAGGAGGCCGAGCGTCTCGCTGAGGAGGAGCGTATTCGCAAGGAGGCGGAGTCCGAAGAGGAGCGTCGTCGTCAGGAGGAAGAGACCGCGCGTCTCGAGGAACTTCGGCTGATCGGGGAGGAGGAGCGTCGTGCTGCTGAAGAGGCCGAGGCTGCGCGTAAGGCGGAAGAGGAGCGTTTTGCCGCGGAGGAGGCCGCGCGACTGGCTGAACTGGAGGCGATCCGCGCCGAGGAGGAGCGTCTCGCTGCTGAAAGAGGCTGCGCGTCTCGAAGCCGAGGAAGCTGTGCGTCGTGAAGAAGAAGAACGTCTCGCGGAGGAGAAGCGTCTTCGTGAAGAGGAGGAGGAGCGTCTGCGTATTGAAGAAGAAGAGCGTCTTGCTGAGGAAGAGCGTATTCGTAAAGAGGAGGAGGAAGCTGTCTTCTTGGCGATTCACGTGCGCGAGGAAGAGGAACGTATCGCTCGTGAAGAAGAGGAGGCGCGTATCCGTGAGGAAGAGGAGCGTCGTGCGCGCGAAGAGGGCGAAGAGCGCGAGCGCAAGCTGGCCGAGGCAGCTCTTGCTGCGAAGCGCGCAGAGGAGGAGGCCGAGCGTCTTCGGTTGGAGCGCATCCAGCAGGAGAAGAACGAGAAGTACGAACAGTCTCTGTCTAAGGACGTGCCTGTGCTTGTTCGTAAGCGAGGACCGGGCCGCGTCGTCAGCTACGACAAGGAACGTGAGACGTACGCTGTTAAGATGGAAAACTCTATGGGCGGCATGCAGATCACCGTCCCTAGCGACGACGTCAACCTTGATGACGACCGTATCTTGTCGCCACGTACCAAGGTGGACACGCCGTTCGGTACGGGTGAGGTTGTGGGTCTAGACCCGCACGTTGGATGCTACGCTATCAACACGGAGGTGAACGCACCAGACGACGATCAGTTTTTGGCTTTCGTTCAGATCAACGACGTGACTGTGCACGTGGAGGAAGAGGAGGAGCGCGCTATTGTGGAAGACGCGTCGTTGCCAAGTACGTGATCTGATTACAGATTTTCTTTGAAGATGGTGACTCATTTTACTGATTCTGTTTTTTTTTTTGTATTTACAGTCCCCGATGAGATCGGTTTGGTGTCGGCTCGCATCGTTGACAGCCGTATCGTGAACCGTACGGGCAAGAAGTTCATTCAATACAAGCTGGAGATTCGCACGAACAACTACGGCACGGTGTTCTGCTGGAAACGTTACAGCACCTTCCGGTACGTGAACGTCACCCAACGATTCGAGCGTGTAAGAGAGTTTAACAAACAATATTGTGCTTGTTGTGGCACAGTTCGTTGTGTGACCGCCTCATGAAGGAGAACGGCATGAAGCGTCGTGACATTCCGGAGCTGCCGCACCGTCACGTCGTGGGCAACTTTTCGCAGAAGACGATCGGTGAGCGTGCCGAGAAGCTGAACTTGTTCCTGAACGCCGCCGTGAGGGCCGAGCACTTGCAGTGGGGTATTCGTGTGGACGACCAGATCGCCGTCTACAAGCGCCGTAACAAACGTGTATCGCAACCGAGCAGTCAACCTGGCAGCCGCGGCAGCCGTAACATTTTCTCGCGACGACGGTAATTGTAGGTAAAAATTTCCCGGCCCCGTGTAGCCACGGGAACTGAATAGTCCCGTCAAGCTTCCTGCATGCAAAGTGCAGAGGTGAACCAGCGTGTTTTCAGTAGGAGAAAGCATCAGAGCAGTCGAGTTGGCAGTCAGTTATAGTTCGTCAGCCCTCACATGTGACCGACGCTCGAACGAAGAGCGGAGGTGGAGTCGGCTACTCCCTGGAAATTGGATTTTTATCTTTTGACATGTGACTAGTACAACTACGTAGAATTTCCTAACTTGTTCAGCAACTGGAGATTTTTTTTTCTTGAACGGCGTGTTAATTGTTTCTGGCTTAGACGTTTTGAATTGAGATGCATTTTTTCGCATTCTCACGAGCAGGTTTGGCAACTCAGAGAGACTTGTCCATTGCTTATCAGGCAACGCGGATGGGTGCAGCCGCTTCATTGGACTGGTGAAGTTCGCCCTGGAGTTGGCGCCACTTGTCCAGTTGCAGCTTGCGGTATTGCTTGACTTCGGTGCTTTTGTACTCGTACCGCTGGAATGGGTTGTGGCAGTCACCGGCGCAACCTTCGCACACGTCTGAGTGGCACGGAACACCGTTGCGTGCGCACTCACAGTCCGAGCCGACACTCGCGCAGTTCTTCTTCTCACGTGCCACCTTCTTGGCTGCTGCCATAAGCTCCGTCTTGCCCGTTCCAGCAAGCGGTACGCTGTGCTCCTGCAAGAACGCGCGTAACTTCTTGACATTCATCTTGGCCACTTTTTTGACCAGATCGCCACACGAACAGCCACAGGCGCCGTCGCGCGAGTCGCGGATCTTAGCGAACTCATCGAGCTGCTCGATAGACACACAGCCGAAATCTGGCGTGGTGAGCGCTGCATTGGCCACCTGCAGTTCCTCAGCAGGCTCAATACTGGAGGCGGAGCCGGTGGAGTATTTCCGCCACGATTTTCTCAGCTCCGGAGACGACGACATCTGAGTCTCAATTGCTCCGTCCTCCTGAGACTGTTTCTCCAGCGTGAAGACCTGTTTGCGTTCGTCTTCGCTCAATCTCGAGAACAACGGGTTGTCCACGCCCCGACGATAGTCAAACTGGCGGGTTTCACCCACACGGACGTCGCGGCGCTTGGACTTGGACAGTTTCTTGGCTCGCTCTTGCAGCTCCTGCTCTCGCAGTTGCTCCACCTCTAGCACACTGCCGAGCTCGATGTCTGCGAGCTTGTTACCTAGACCAAGGGCCCATGTCCCGTCGTACGGCACGGCACCACCGCCGCCAGGGAAGCGCGCGAACTCTCGCGCCTGGACGCCACCCCACATGATATGCTTTTTGGCACCTAATGAGGCCGAGCGGTTCTTGCGCTGTTGCGGGGCACTCGTAGAGGGCACATGCATGCTATTACTGCGTGCTTTGCGCTTCTTCTTGTGCTTTTTGCTCTTCTTTTGCGGCTTGGGCGCTGCTGCTGCGGACTCGGCAGGGATCTCCACGACCTGCACGGGCTCTGTGACGAGGCGCACGCTCTTCGGCGGCGAAGTGGCCACGGACGCAGCAGCAGCGTCAGGTATACCAACGCAGTGTATATCATTCGAGTGTATATGTGTCGTCTCGATTGATCGAGCTGAAGACTGCAGACACGAGGGGCGATGACTCGGCCAGCTCTTGCGCTGGCAGTCACGGTCGCAGAAGTAGACGCATCGGCACCCACCGCAGCGGTTCTTGGCATCGGCTTTGCCGCAAGTCAGGCAGGTCTTGTCAGGGGGTGTAGAAGCAGTCATAGCGGCGGTGAGGTGTTGGTGTAGGTTAGGGATCCTTCCGCGTGTGCGCGTTGTTGCTCAGATTGGGAAGTGACGCAATAATCCATCCGCCTCTTCGATCAGTGACTCGAATAGAGGACTGTGTTAACAGTTGTAAACTGTGTTGTGTGTTGAGCACGCCCATGCTTCAACCAACTCGGCAGCAACAGGCACCTATTAATAGTCGAAGCGTCCGCTACTTGAACGCCTTCATTGTGCACACACATGAGCGCTATAAATTCATTGTCAACACGTTGGTGGTGCGGTGTGATCATACACCTAAGGCGCGTTCTTAATCAAAAGTCTGTTTGGTACATGTACGTACAGTCTGTACGGAACAGACTGTTGATTTATCAGGCGCTGGCAAATCGTCCCACAAGAGTTTTTTTCGGTTGCAAACTCGTTTCTGCTTTTATGCTTCAACGTCGAATGTTCCCGAATGCACATTGTACATTCGGGATTGCACAATAATAGCACTGGCGAAGCTGCAGAGGAACACTTACACTGCGATGCGTTGCGGTCAACATATTTGCTGAGGTGGGCGGTTGGCTCAGCAAATGCCGCAACGTTCGTCACGAACAACACGGCGATGTATGGTCATGCTCATGTATTGGTCTATCGAGACCATCTACATGTAGATATCGGTAAGTACATGTATGCGCCCCGATGTGCTGCGGATAACAACGGTGTTGATCACAACACGGAGACCAAAACTTCGTTGCGTTGGTGCAACAAACAATTTTTTTATCTTGACTTTACTATTTCACAGTCAAAACCATTTGGTGTCCAGTACATCACACAAACCAACCACAGATATCTTCTGGCCAAGCACGACATGGCGGACTCGAACGCGAAGCTCAACTCCTTGTTCGGCAAGAAGAAGAAGAAAAAATCCACGACTGTCAACGCCAACGTTATCGTTAAGACCAGCGCGCAGAATGCCGTGCGTGCTGCTGCCGAGCGCGCCGCTGCGGCCGCTCCCAAGCCCTCTCCGAAAGCCACGGCCCCTGCTGCCACTGCTTCAGGCAAAGTGTTGTCGGACCTGTCATTGAGCAGGGAGGAGGAGCAGGAGAAGGCTTCCTTCCAGTGGGCGAAGCAACCCAAGAAGTACAAGAACTTGAGCGAGAAGGAGGCGGTGGCTACCACGTGGGCCGAGCAGGAAGAGCGCAACCGCGTGAATCGCCGCATCCAGCTGGACAACGAGCGCGCCTTCCCGTCGCTGGGTGTGGACGCAGCCAAAGCCCAGCTACATGGTATGAAGGCTCCCACTACCAAGGCCGTCGAGACCAAGAACGTCTGGGCTTCGCTGCATGACGACGAGGATGAGGACTAAATCGATAGAGCGATTCGTGCCACAGCTCTGTACTGGGGAAACAACGAACAAATTCTGGAGCTTATAGTGTCCAAAACAACGTTACAAAGAGGTGGTAGGTGCTCTGCCTGGCCGAGACGAGCTGGGAGAATTCTGCTGCTCATCTATGTGACGGCTGGTCGGTCGAGTGACCGAACCGCGGCATGAGGTGCATCAGGCGCAGGTGAATCGTAATAGAATGAAACATCAAAAAGAGTCGAACGAGCAAAACATCAACTAGTAAAATACGAGTCGACCGGGCGCGTTCTGCTGCCTTGATTTCAAATAGGCAGGTCAACTTATTTTCTTTCAGGGACATCCATCGTTTCGAACGTGCAGCCCAGATACGAGCTGTACCCGTTTGGCTTGGCATTAGATACAGCACTGCCATTATTCCAGATGAGGTCAAAACCACCGATGTGGAGCTCATTGCCTTCGCGACGGCGTTCCAGGTCCACAACATCCAGTGTGTCCTGTACGAGTTTGGCTTTGAGCGCGTAGTCAGCGTGTGTGTCGCCAGTCAACGACGGCGAGGCGTTCACCTCGATAAGCCACGGCTTCAACGCGCTGTCAATTAACACGTCGTACCCGTACAACTCAAAGCAGTGTCGGTCCTGAATAATCGTCGGCTGCACAGCCAGCAGTGAGCGTGTGATGAGCGACTGGATGGCGAGGAACAACTGGTCAACTGCATCCTGACCGTATTTGCTAATAAGGAACATCTTGAGACTATGCAGTGGCCACTTGGAGCCAAGACGCTCATTGTAGTCGTCTGCACTCTTTTGCACCGACGCGTTTGTCAAGTGCATCAAGAGATTGTCCATGTCATCTTTGCTCTGAGTGTAGCGAGTGTGCGAGAAGCGAGCAAAACCCGCACGGTAGGTCCAGAATGTCAATGGCGAGAAGCTCGTCACTAGCGCGTACAATCGTAGGTCGAACTTTTTGCCACCCAGCAGTAGCCTGTCACCACAACGACGTAGTATAGTAAGTACTGTAACACATTGAGACTGGAGAAGCCGAAAGGTCAGCTTCGTACGGTGACTCGACGTATTTCTGCACAATATACGTGTCTGCAGTCTTGGCCTGCATTGCACCGTCACCTTTCCAAGAAGCGTCTCGTTTCCACTCGCTGATGTCACTAAGCTTCTCGAACAGAAAGATGCCACGACCTTGTGCCTTACCCACAGGCTTCATGATCCATCTACCTCCTGGCATACGCTTAAATTCCTCTACAAACATACCGTACTCATGTGGCAGAACAAACGTCGCCGCCCAGAAATCGTAGAGCTCCGCTTCTCGACGAGAATCCGGGTCACCACTTCGATAAGCGTCAATGTCACATCTACATTCGTGGCAAGACTACAGCGATGACGCACCTGCGCTCGAGCTGTCTCTTGACGCGCTTTAGGTTCTTGACCAGTAAATCCTTGCGCGTGAGCTCATAGTGATTCTGAAAGTGGTTGATACGCTGCACATGAACCGAAAAATAGTGAGTGGTTTTTGCTGTCTTTCCACAATTTTCCTATTGAGTTGCACCTGATGATCTTGAAGCGGCGTGAAGGCGTCCAAGTTCTCACGGATCCAAGCAACATCTGACCAGTGCAGATCCCAATCCAGGTCGCTATCTGTCTCGATCCAGCCGCCTTGGCGTTGCATTACATCCAGCACTGTATTGCTCAGCGAAGTTCGGAAGCGTATCATCCGCCTGCAGTAGCATAGCGCTCTATTACATCTGTAGTCTATTGATGCAACCGACGTCGAATCTGATACAATGTAATACTGAAAGACAAATTCACCTGCGATCCCGGCTATCAGGCCTCGCGCCAGACATAGGCCTCCTCTCCATTTTACAGGGAGCTTGAAAAGTTGCATGTCATACCTTTACGTGGTCCACATATTTTGCATTTTTCACTGCCGCGTGGAAGCAACTTTTGAACCAGGTCGAGATGGCGACGGAGCATAAGTATTCGGTGCTTTTGCCAACGTACAATGAACGCGAGAACCTGCCGCTTGTAGTGTGGCTATTGGACTCTACATTCGTCGACAAGTGCGTGCTACTACCGTGCTGCATTTCGCTCTGCGCCCTGCGCAATGCTGCGGTCATCACCGTAGACTTTAACTAACTCGGATTTTCACATCCAAACACGCAGCAAACTCAATTACGAGATCGTGATCGTAGAAGACAACAGCCCAGATGGCACGCTGCAGGTGGCACGCGACCTGCAGAAACTTTATGGCAAGGACAAGATCGTGATTTTGCCGCGTGAGGGCAAGCTAGGACTTGGATCCGCCTACCGCGACGGCCTGAAGCAAGCGACAGGCGACTATGTGTTCCTCATGGATGCTGATCTCTCGCACCACGTAAGCCATCTTGCAATTTGCCCTGCGTGAGTCTAATAGCTGAGGTTTCTGACTGCAATTTCTTGCGATATTTTCCCCATGCAGCCTAAATTTATTCCTGAGTTCATCAAGTACGCCAAAAGAGGCAGGCATGCAGATGGAGATGAGAATGAAGACTCACAGTATGCTGCGGTGTTGATACCAACAGGAAACAGGCTGAAGAGAACTGCGATATCGTCACAGGCACGCGCTACGTCTCCGGCGGCGGCGTACGTTTGTAATCGATAGCTCGAGATCCGTGGTTGCAGACTGCTGACATGATGCTGCGTTGTGCAGGTGTATGGATGGGACTTGCGTCGCAAGCTAACGAGTCGCGTGGCCAATTACTTGGCCACGGTACTGCTCAATCCGTCAGTCACGGACCTCACGGGCAGCTTCCGACTGTACAAGCGCGACGTCATCGAGGACATTATGAGCGCGATCCAGGGTCTGGGCTACGTTTTTCAGATGGAAATCCTTGTACGTGCGCGTCAGCGTCAGTACTCCATTGCCGAGGTGCCGATCACCTTCGTCGATCGCATCTACGGCGAGTCGAAGCTAGGCGCCGGGGAGATCGTGGCGTACCTCAAGGGACTCTTCAATCTTTTCTTTACGACGTAAAAAAGTAGGTAGAGCAGATGACGTTGTACGTGTCGAATTGTCACACTCTTGTTATCAGATAATTTGCCTGTTTTACTCTCCGGCTTTAGCCCCACCAAACTCGCAAACTGGGTTGTCTCGCTCCTGTTTTCAGGTCAGTTGCGAGATAACACACAAAGCTAAGCTCGGCTCGGCTCGCCAGCTCTTCTTATAATTTTGTGTTCAGTAACTCACTCCGTCCACATCTCATCATTCGCTCGCCTTCGCACCGCGCAGTCTTGTCGACACGTCCAATGTCATAACAGCGCTCTCTTTATCCACTTGTTTCTCTTCAGGAGCACGGGCATACGTTCTTGCAATGCCATCCTTGTCTTGCGCAGCAGCGACATGTCTTGCAGCAATCGAATCTGCGTCGTCACTGCCAATACCCAGCAGATTGCTCACGACGTCCAGGGGCGCGTCAGTTGCACCTCCGAATACAAACACAAAGAGGATGAAACCCAGCACGAGCACCAGCGGCACAGAGCACATGACCGCACCCACTTTGAGGGGAGACGTGGTGGCTCTCTCCGACATTGGGGTGCACGTGCGCCGTCTGCTTCTCTTTAGACCGGCGCGTCGTCGCTCCAACTCCTGCATCCAGTAGTTGTGCTCGTTGCTGCTCTCCTGCGGATTAGGCTCTTCTTGACCATGAGCACGTGCTTGCGCCTTTAGCAGTGGCGTGCGTTCGGGGAGCTCCTTCATTGGCGCTTGCAGCACACTGTAGCCGCTGATCTTACTCATACTGTACATGTCAGGGGCGAACTTGGCATTCCCACGGTTACGCCCACGCTCGCCCTTCAAAAGTACCTTAAGTGCAGTCTGGGTGCGCTCCGAGAGCTGTAGCGACGCCCGTGTACGCGCGAAGGCCGTGTCGGGACGCTCGACATACTCCTCAACCCGACGTTGGTCCGGCAATGGGGACGTGAACTGCGACACAGGCTGGTGCTCCGGGATGCTCTGCGGAATGCGGAAGCTACTGCTGCTGGAAGTGCGACTGAAGGAGCCGTAGGACGGACGAACCAGCGGCCGTTGCGTCTTCAGATCTAGCGCCGCAGACCAGAACATGATTCAACGAAGAGGAGGAAGTCCTAGATCTTCCGCTGCCGTAGAGCTAGTTGTGAAGTGGGCAACAGCTCGTAGCCCACGAGTGAGTGAGCTCTGCTTGGTTTGGTTGGTGCGTTGAAGCTGATGTGGATCTTTGGCAACTCACAAGTCAAAACGCCTCTTGAAGCCTAAGTCGCAGCCGCCTGTGGCACTGTTACGAAGTTTGTAGTATTTTTAATGGCACTCCAGAAGTTTCCACGCTGCTTCGACTTGATCTGGCAAGTCGAAATGTGAGTTGCATTGAAAGCTTACACCAGAGGGTTACAGACAAGGCGTAAGAAAATCGAAACTCAAAGTATTTAACAGTGGTCGAAGCTTTTTTGCCCCCGGTTTTTTAGCCACTCACATAAAACGGCTTCATGAAGCGGTTTTTAGTCGTATCAAAGCAACTGCTTTATTTTGCCAAGCGTATCCTTAACCTGCAGCAGTTACTCGACTTCGAAAAAAATGATGGTGAGAAAATGTAGTTCACGCGACATAGATAAAAATCTACTGCGCGAAGGGCTTTGTTGCTATTTGTATCATCAGTATAAACTCGGTGGCAACGCGCTTTTAGCCGACCTAAAGGACGCACCAGATAGCAGTCCGGATGGGTAAACTTTGTCACGATGTACAGTTAGATGTTGGACTTACAATGCTGGCTGACTGCCTACAGAAAGTCTATTTGGTCCAGACTCTCCGCACCACGTCCAAGCAAATGGGACCTACGGCCAAGTCGGTGACATTCCAAGTGTGAGAGATCGGCAAGCAACTGGTCGTGGCGAAAATTGGTGCTGGACCGCCACCTGCGAGGGATCTGCAGAAAGGTAAGGAACTTTTCACTCTTTGCGAGGTTGAGTGAAGAGCTCAGTCGTGAATTCTCCTTCCAGCAAAGAACATAAGAATACATCAACGGTTATATTACTTTTAAAACGTCGCTAGCACTACTACCTCCTACGTTCACCCAAGATACATGACCCCGATTAGAAGAAGACCGCGACGTTTTTGGTGGAGAAACAGGATATCTTCTTGCCGAATACCATATGAGTACAAGCGTGGAGAGAAGCCTTGGGCAGCGGAGCGCCAAGGGAGAAGGAAAAAGGAGTGGGAAAAGGATGAGCGCTCATGGGTGGTCCGGAAAAGGACTTGGAGTCATTGAAGGGGTAGGGATTTTACCGTTGAAAACGGAGCCCGTGGAGTTTCTCAAGAAAGAAGAGGAGATGCGCGCTGAGAGAGCTGCTGGCGGCGATACGAGGCTGAGGTCTCAGGGAAGGGACTGCCAGGGAGATGGCGAGGAACGTGGCACGCCGCAGCGGGCTGATTTCGAGACTGAAGGGTACGAGGCACGAACGGTCCACATAGAAGGCGAAGGTATGTTCGGTGTTGCGTCTCCGTCTCCGGGAACGAGAAGGACGGTTGAGTCTAAGCAAGGGACGCCTCTTGGTGAACAGATGTCCAACACGGTCCTAGAGCAGAGGGCACGCCAACCGGCGCCCAGCGAAGGAACGACGCCTGCGAGGACGACGACGGATACGCCCATGAAATCTTCGGTGAGGGACTAAGGAGGTCGCCGCGAGGTGAAACCATTTGAGCGCTGCCTGGGCGGTAGCTATCGTATACTTGGAATGACGGCATTGTTGGTTAAGGCTCTGTTTGGTTCCTAAACAAATTGCAATAATCAAAGCTCGATTGTAATCTCAACAAAAATAGAATCATATTCGTAATTGAAGATCCAAACATGCACCGCAATCGCAAGTTCTGCAAATGACAATTGCCGATCAGAATATTCGAGTAAATCAGTTGTGTCCAAACGCGGGTTGCCTGATTGTAATAATCAACTGAAATGCCATTTCGTAATATTCTACTCTAAGCAGAATTACCTCACCAGAAAGCAAAGGAAACCTTTGAACTTGAGTCACGGCGCGAGGTGTAGCGACGGCAAAAAACATTGAACTGACAAACAACAAAGCGCGCCATCTTCCGTACGTAACTACCTATCCATACGCAACCTGTACAGCCCATGTCACTTACTGTGGTCCTCATAACGATTCGTACTTCATTCGCAGATACAATGTCAGCCCGTTCTTCTAGCGCTGCCGCACGTGCTTCTTGGGATTTAGACATGGACGTTTTCCTGGTTGAAGCCATGACGGACCAAGCAAAAGCTGGGAAACGTGCGGACTCTGGGTTCAAGAAAGAAGCATGGGTGGCAGTACATGAGTCGATGAACGAACGATTCAACAAAGAGCTCACAATTCAGCAAATCAAGACCCGCGTCCAAACGGTAATACGTTCTTCAGAATTTACGGTGTTCATATGTGATCTTAACCTTGTGATAACCACAGCTAAAGTCCAAGTATACCACAATTTCTCACATGTTGCGAGTTTCGGGCTTTGGCTGGGATACCAACCACAATGTTGTACTCGTGCATGACGACGTATGGGATCGTTATGTCTCGGTAAGGATTCTAAACTGCATTCTGTGCTAATTGGACATCTTACCTGAACTTATGGTGTAAGGAACACCCCAAAGCCATCGACTTCCGAAAAAAAGCCGTCCCTTACTACGAAGACCTCGTAGATCTCTTTGAAGGGACATACGCTACTGGAGAGCACGCACTCAGTTCTGACGAGCCAATCGATTTCGACACAGATACAAACGTTCCTGAGGTACGAGGAGAATTTACAGCAAGTACAGGGGATTCAAATTCAGCTCCCGCTCCTCCGACGCTTCCAAACGAGGCAACAGCCACATCAGCTACGTCAACAGATCGGGGAGACCTGAGGGGCGGCAACAAGAACGATTCCCAGCAGAAAGGAAGTCGTAAACGCAACCGTGATAGCGGTGGCGCTTTGATTGCTGATGCTATCAACGAAGTTGCGACCGAAATGCGGAATCGCACTGCTCGAATGAAAACATTGACTTCCTCGCAGAAGGCTATAAAAGTCCTCCAGAAGACTTATGCTGAGCGCTTCTCTGCGCTCGAAATGGCACAAGCATTTGATGTCATGCTGGACGAAAACAAGGCTAGGCTCTTTGTGGTGATGGAAGAAGGAGAGGTTCGCGATATTTGGCTCGCAAACCAGGTGAGTTCGAGCGATTAAAGACATTGAGTTGTCTACGGAAGGTGGTACGTTCCAAACGTTTGCATTACTTAAATGAGTTTACGTCAAGTCCGACGCATAGTTCGTGTAGGAGTCCCACATCGCTTTTGCAATTCTATCCCGAAAAGAATTTGCCTCTTTCGTTTTTGCACGCCTTTGCTGAGCTGTTGTTCCAGCGTTGGTGTCCGTAATTCCACTGCTAGTAGAGTTGTCCTGCAAGTCATCAGGCCCGTATACTTCACCTTCAGGATCGTCATTTGGATCATTTTGAATGCGAATAAAGTTGTGTAGAACACAGCAGGCCAACACGATTTCAGCTTGCGTTGTGATGCTAAACTCAGGTGGCGTTGTCAATACCGGAAACCGTCGCTTTACCACACCAAAAGCGCGTTCGATGACGTTGCGAGCTTGTGCATGACGCAAATTGTAATACTCCTTATAATTCTGTGGTCTAAGAAACCAAAAGTTAGTTTCAACAGTGATATTTGAACTCATAACATCTCATGTCGTACCGTTCGTTTGCTTGACCCCACTCACGAAGGTGATAACGTACACCCCGGTATGGTGTAAGAATCTTCCGTTGTTAGGCCCATACCCTGCATCACCCAAGTCAAACAATCCGGAAGGAGTGGCGAATCCTTTTCGACGCGTATCTTCCAGTACCGTAGAGTCAGCAGCAGAGCCTGCATGTTGTGAAAACAATACAAAATAATAAGTGTTGACAGAACACATAGTAGCATGGTACAAATTTACCTTCCCATCCGGCTAAGACAAAAGCAAACTGCATGTCAAATGTGCAAGCTGCAAACACGTTCTGGCTTAAACGCCCTGTTCGATCACGAAAAGGTTTTGCATCTTTTTCTGGAACATAGGCAGGAATATGTGTACCGTCAAACGCAAGGCGACACTTGTCGAACTGCGACGCATATTTTGGATTTTTTGCCAATTCATTAGACGGTGTCTTGGGCTGTACGATGTACTTCTTTGCGAGAGAACACACAACCTTCAGAACACTGTGGAAGTGCCTGTGATTAATTTACATCGTCAATTTCATGCTTGCCACACATCACATAATAGACCTACCTGTGCACAGTTTCCCCACTGTGCTGGAAGCGTTCCATTAGGTCGCGGTTGGACGCGTTCTTCGAAAGACAGTAGAGAAACATCGCCACGCTCTCTTTCACCTCAACACGCGCCCACGGAGAGGCAGGTACAGCTTCTTCCACTTCAGTACATAAGCGCTCAAACACTTCCTTGGTCACTCGAAAGTTTCTAAAGATGCGCAAAGGGTGGCCCTCCTCTAGCTCGGCGACCCAGCCGGCGCCGGTCAGTGAAGACGTGTGGCAATCTTCCTTGCAGTAATATGTGGCGCCGTAGTAGGCGGCAGTTAGCGCGAGCACTTGTGCAGTCGGTTCCAGCTCGTCGTCGCTCTGTTCCTCTTCGATCTGTTCTTCGCGCTCGTTCATTGTTTTACTTGCGTCAAATCAGCTGTGAAGGGGTTGCATATAATATCTTTTTTTTGTGTGTTGGATGCACAAACACAATAAATTCGACGATTGTGATCACTGAAGTTTCTGAAAGCTAGCTCGGGGTGCCAAACACGCCAAAACACCAGTAATGGATTGCAATCCTAGGATACCATTTTGAGTGAAATTGTAATTTATTCTAGACCCGGATCCAAACGGAGCCTAAACAATCCAGATTACGACATGACAACCATTTTTTGCAACGTTATCGCCTTAATGCAAGGCTAAAAGCTAAATGGATACGTGGTAGGACAAGGTAGGACTTAAAAATATGACATAAATTACGATGTGTACCACACATGAAATATATAATGATGTGCATCTGAGGTACAGTTCCAATAAAATGAGTTGATTAAGCCCGTATGAGGAAAGCACATCCTTTATCCTTTTCAGTAGTACATTGGAGGGGTTGTTGATCGTGTCATAAAGCGCATATTGTGGTCATACTATATGAGCAGGAATGGGTGCTACTGAACAGGTTCAAAATGGTGATAATTATACGTGGCGAAACGTGCATACAGTATTGTAATATTTACTGAAATCTCATGAAGATATGATTCTGGCTCAGTAAGTGTCGTGAAAAAGGAGCGCATGCGACCCAACC